CAGCTCAGAAGGCACCACCTCCTCAATCCACACGAGTTGCACCAAGTGGTGCAGCGCAGTCAACAACGCGGGTCCACCGTGTTTCAATTCTTCAGGTGGGATCCCGTCACCTCCGGCACATTTGCCGTTTCGCAGCTGAGCAAGTGCTCTCTGCGTCTCATCCAGTCTCGGCGTATCCGCCAGATCCGCCTTCACATCGTGCTGCTTCAGGCCGTTTAATGTAGGCCAGTCGATCTCTGAACGGTTGTTCAAGAGACAGTCAAAGTGTTGTCGCCAGATCTGCATTACGTCTGCAGTCTGTGTGCAGGTAGCGCCTGAACTACCATGGATCAGTGTCCTCAGCGGCTCCAATCTCGGTCCATACACCGCCTTCAAGGAGTCAAAGAATTCCTTGTGTTGACGGCGTTCGGCGTAGCATTCCATCTGCTTCGCCTTCTCCGTCCACTATGCATTTTTAATGCGACGGAGCTCTCGGGTCAGTCGCCGTCGAAGTTTGCGAAACTGACTCCTCTTCCCCAAGTCGCTGGGGTCTGCCACATGTGCAGCAAATGCTGCATTCTTCTCCGACTCCAATGCGCCAATCGTCGCATTGTTGTCATCAAACCAATCAGGCCGCTTACAGTTTGCGCGCCCGATGGTCTCCTCGGCAGCAGCTGTCACCTGATCGCGAATGTGGTGCCACAGGTCGCCCACTGTGGCTATGCAGTCCACATCACACAGGCGTGCAGCCATCGCCTTCTCCAGCTCAGTACGTTTCGCCACAGTACCGAGGGAGAGAATGTTAAATTTACGCCGATTCACGGCGGGAGTGCAATACATAGATTTACGAAAATATATGTACAGTTTGGTCCGAACCAATTGTGATCAGTGCCACACTCAGCTCCACGCAGTACACGTGTCATGCGCACTTCCCGCATATCACGCTGACGTACGATGACATAGTCGAGCAGGTGAGCGTGCCAACTCCGTGGGTGCGTCCAAGTTGCTATATCACTCGCACTCAGTGCAAACCGAGTGTTCGTGATCGTCAGGCCGTGAGTGGCACACAGTGAGAGCAGCCTGTCACCGTTCACATTCGCTGAACCAATGCCATGCGCACCGATAACATCTGTCCACACCGATGCATCACGCCCAACGCGCGCGTTGAAATCACCCAGCAGAAATAGTCGGTCGCTCCTCGGCACAGACCGTATCACGGAGGATAGCTCAGTGTAGAACTGATCACGCGTGTCATCAGGATAACACATGGTCGGACCGTACGTGCTTATAAAAGTAGCAAACTTACCTCTTCCGAGTCGCATGCGAACAGTCATCAGCCGCGCGCTGATGCCCGTTGGTTCCCCCACCAGATGGCCATGGAAGCGATCGGATATTGCAAATCCGACCCCATGTTCACGTGGTGCTGAGGTGGCGTTGCCCACCCAGTGGAATGTGTAGCCAGCACCTGTTTCATGTAACTTACCTTGCTCAGCGAGCCGAGTTTCACTGAGCGCCGCAATATCGATGTGGTAGCGCGCCAGCTCCATTGCGACCAGTGCAGTGCGTCGTTCCGGGCGCTCGCTCGAGTTCCGGTCCAGTAGTGTGCGCACGTTCCACCACCCGATGCTGAGTGCTTTGCGCGCAGGCATACGATTGCATTGGTGGGCAATCGCACGCGAGGTGGTCGTTGTGCTTCGGAGGTTTGCTTGAGGGACTCCACCCGGAGCCTTTGTTTCAATAGCCTGACCCACAAGGCAGTGGGTGGTTGGATGTTTGCTTGAGGGACTCCACACGGAGCCTTTGGCTCAATAGCCTGACCCACAGGGCAGTGGGGAGCAGATCCAGCTCGGGAATGTGATTGCAGAGACAGATGGGGATCTGCTTGACGGCCGTCACACGCAGCCTTTGAGGTTCCTGAACGTTTTATATATGTTTTGCGACCGTAATTGGATACGCACCTGCGACCACGGCCAGACGCAGGTGGGTTTTTGGCGGGTTTGCACCAATTTGACCAGGGGCTGCCTGGCTTGAGGCGGGCAGTAGCAGACCATTGATTACCCGGACGTGTCCTCCCACCGTCAGAGACAATGCGTGGCACTCGTGCTCTACGCCAATCGAGCATTGAGAATATAACCCGTAACCTGTTGTCTCCCATGGCTAGGATTTACGGGAAGTGGGCCATCGACCACTTCCTAACCTCCGGAGAGGATGGACTAGGATACTGCCAGGGCGCCCAATCCTGACAGGAGAACGACTCGGGTCCTCAGCCAAAGCCTTCGATTAAATGAACACCCGAAAGGCAGCGGGTCTAGCACATGGTCAGTTAGCCGACTCATGCGGATTGGTTTCCTGGATCTTAGCAGGGAGAAGGGCGAATCCTGACTCCCACCCAGCGGTCGCCACGTGGAGGCGCCCAAGACATGAGACTATGGCGCAACAGTAGCAGCAATGGGTAGACGATCTTTCAGGATCTAGCCACCACCAGCCTCAGCGCACCATAGGCTCTCCCGCCTACTGGTGCGTGAAGCGCGTGTTAGCTTTCCAGGGGGGCTCACGATGTAAAACACACGTGCGATTTCCGGACCATGAATAGATCATGTCTTCTTTCTCTTCTATAAGAACTTTTTATAAAAGCAAGCTTTTCGCACTATATGATGTCGTTTCTTACTCATGACTTTTTCACCTTGGAGTGATGTCCTTGCTGCAACCCTATGCCACCTTACTGTACAGATACAAGCAGTGGCTTAGAAAGTCGCAAGTCGATCGTCATCAACTCGCCGCTCCTGATGACGAGGCATCAGTAGATCCTGCGGGTCTGCAAGTGGTTTATTCCACTCGATTCGGTGGTCTGGTTGAGTTTCCGGATGATGAAACAGCGCCCACTAGCAATAAACACACCAGGAAAGGTTTTCGGCGGAGACCTACTAACGTTACTGATCCAGGTAACAACTTAGTTCCTGAACAAGCCGTACGGGCAAAGCGAAAATTCACAGTGACTGGGACGCGACGGTGGGGTAAGTTTGTTTTTGATGCCTTGCGATGTTGCTGCATCGATTCACTAATGTTGTAAAACCGACATGCGAATTTGCTGGGTGTCTATCCTACAATTCTACACGCCATTGTCTTAAGGATCACAAGCTTGCCTTGTACTCTGAAGGCGCGGGTTCGAGTCTGCTTAGCGACCAGACTACCTTCTTAGTTTTCTTAGCCTACATGCGCAGATGGGGATTGCGCAGCAGCGAAGCGTCGGTACTGCGTACCGGCGTATTGTTGATGCCTTACTTTACTTATCGGTCCGAACCGATAAGTAAAGTAAGGCATGCTTGTTGTTAGGTGTGAATTCTGTCTACCACCATTTCTCCTTCGTAGCCTTTTGACGTATTAGCACTTTTTATTCCAAGATGTAACATCGCATTCATGGTGTCTGCTGATTTTCCCACCTCCCCTGTTAAGCTGTTAACGTCTTCCCTTTCATCCATAAACTTGCAGAGGAGCGTGCGTCTTCTCGGCAACGAGAAAAAACACAACTTGCTGAAGCACGCAAGATCCGTCAACCAAAAGGAGGTCGCACATTTGGTCAGCTTCGAAGACCAGAGCAAGTGCTGAAGCAGCGTCGGCAACGAATGAAAATGAACCATGCTGCTCAGAAGAAAAAATTTAAGGGCTCAAAATTAAGAACGAACAAAGCATCGGGACGCGTACGCAGTCGGCGTTCTTGATTGTGACTATATACAGATTAAAAAAAGTTTTCTTTCTTTATCCCTACTGTTTTGCGTACCGGTTGTGGGGAGTCAGTTATTCCGAGCGAAGTATTCTGTCGATTTCCAGCTCTCTGTAAGATGCTTCTGTGGTCAATGTACTTTTCGTTAGCTATGTCTGAGGCAGTAGGAGAGAATTATTTTTAACCATTGAACTCCGCTGATTACCTCCTTTGAGCGCGTTTTGGAGCTGCTTCAGCCAGATTCGTCAACATTTAAGGTCTCAACCTTCTCAGTTTCCTGGGTATACCTACTTATAGTTTGAAAATGAGTTTCTCATTTTCGTGAAACTGTCCCATCTTATATAAACATATAAATTAATTGTATATTCCAGTTTCTAGCAAGATGCACCGTTACAGCATGTTCATGTAATTAAAAGCATATTTTAGATCGTCGCCACATTCGCTTTGCTATGTTGAGTGAACCGACCACTGGCCGGTACAGCGGAGCTGTATGGTATTATTCGCATCCCCAGATAATATATAATGTAATCTCTTCCTTGTAGGAGTCACTGTAAATACCTGTCGTCTGTCTTATAAAAGGGATCAGTGAAGAGCTGCGAGACAGGAAAACCGCCAATGTCGGATGGCGCCTGTTGCGATAACAGCTGGTCGACCTGGCGAACAAGACGGAAGGCCAATCAGCACTGTTGGAACGAGCTACTCACATTTGCAAGGACGGAGTGAATCGGCCACAATGGGGTTGGGGTATTGTGAACAAGACGCAACTTTGTTTCAGTTAAGGTCGGAGTGGTTGAGACAGTTGCAAAGGAACGATGAGTGCGATCCAATGAACACAGTTAGGAGGCTAGCAAGAATCAGCCATTGCAAATGCACTTTAGTGATAGGATCGTGATTAGCACAATAGCTGAAAAGCTGAGGAAGCAACTTTCGCGGCGGAAAAACCTGGACCTGGGGCAGTGTATTGACATCTGTCTTATTGGGGTAAGACCGCCCAACAGCTAGGAATAGAGACAACGACGGAGCTCTGTGTATTAGCTCAGAACCATGGACGCGTTGGTCGCAACAACGGATGGTCAGGAGCCCACTTCCCAGTTTTGCAGTCGTGTGCATCCATTACGGAGCGGAACTTTTATGCAGTGTTTTAAGAAGAACCATTTTGCATGTTACTGCCGATCTGTCAAGCTCGACTCAGTGGACAGGGATACTCGGCAGTGGTCACAAGAACTATCAAGTTTGTATATTCTACGCTGCTTATTCAGTTTCGCCGATTCGTTTTCAGCTGGATTCGGGGACCTTTGTTTACATACTGCCCCAAAAGTACTGTCATAGAGCAGCATTTCACAAAACAAGCCTGTCTGAGGATGTAGAATGATCCACAATTACAACCGAACGACTGTGTCACGATGAAAGTCACAAATCCGAAGTATGGGTCGGAGCACTTGCTCGCGTTTCTCGTGGTGTTAACAGAATTTACGCATACCTTAGGCATTGATTCCATTCAATGTTCGGGTTTCATCTCTTTTAAACATGATCGTTTTGTTCATTCGTGTAAACTTAGCACGGATGTCGTGGGGGGGGGGGGTTCGAAGCAGATTCTCATCTGTCATTGAACGATTTCTGGCGAACAGTAGTGTTGTCAACTGGAAAAGTCCTCTGACGAATTACAGCGCTTGATCCTTTTGGGTGTTATAGCCAAGGTTGATAAACCAACGGAATGGGTTAGCCAGGTTGCGATATTCACTTAAATTTCGAGTGATTTACGCGTATGCATTAATCTTAAATCGCTTAACGCCGCGCTCAGAAGAGATCATTGTAAGCTACCGACATTGTATGATGTTCTACCGGTGTTGTCCAAGGCGAAGTTGTTCCCTAAATTTGACTTAGCTTCCGCTTTTTGCTACGTTCCACGACGAAGAGTCCAGTAATTTAAATAAATTGTTTATTCTCGACAATGCGGGACACGCCTTTTGGATGTTTCTGATTGCTGTACTTACCATTTGGCTTGAAATACCTAGTGGGGTTTTTTAAAAACCGTTAGTGCAAGCGCCAGATGATCCACCGGGAGCGCTATGTGTAGCGGACACTGCTAGTTTTCGGTGCCACACGAGAGGAGCATGACTGTAACCTACGCGGATTCCTACGGCGTTATCCAGAGGGGAATATTAAATTTAAGCATGAGAAGATTGAAATGCGCATAACGGAATTAGTTTTCTACTGGCACATTTTGTGTTCATAAGGGTTGAAACCAGACGCGGAGACAGCTAGAGCCACAAATGAGATAACACGTTCAACTGATGTAAAAGCTGCCAGCAGACTGAACGGGCTGGTGAAGTACCTGAACCGCTTCTTACCCGGACTAGCTGACGTGATGATTCTTGTCCGGAAACTGATACAGAAGGGTGAAAGTTGGCAGTGGAATGCTGGACAAGAGAAAGCCCTCCAACTAATTACACAGCTGATCACTAATGCCCCATCCAGTCTTACTATGATCAATCGCTCCCGCTTAAGATACATATATAAATAAAGGTTATATTCTTCGACGGTGCGAGACAGTCCAACTGATTGATATGGTTATTGTGTACAACGAGATCACATGGGACGCATAACATTCCTTCGAGGTTTTTTCGGAGTAGTTCCCAAGGTATTTTGCGGGGCCGATTGATCGATTGCATCTTTCAACTAATGGGATTGATCGATAACAATAATAATAATATTAAATGCAGATAAATCTAAATGTTCTAGTAAAGTAATACGGCCAACCGTGGATTCGTCACCAGAGTACTTACTTCCATGCGGGCGTGTCCTTCGACAGGTTTCGCCCACACTCCCTTTAGGGCTCTTTTTAAGTGTACATATATATATATATATATCTATATATATATATATATATATGGATATTTGGGCCATATCGCCCGTACCATCACTCGTATTTTTGTGTCAAGCACTTTTATTACACGTCAAAGGGCCTATGGTATCTTGCCTTGCATTGGTACATCTATTAGTTTCGAAGCTTCAATCCGTCACCTCAGGAGATCGACCCACTTGTGGCCAACAATAGAGTAAATCTGAGTTGGTAGAAAGGTAATTACGGTAGTCATAATGAATAAGAAACTGTTATATCTAAATATCGCCAAGAAAGACCGACGGATTTCTCGATCCAATTGTGCGGTGGAATCGCCATAATAGCTGGCCGCTTAAATTATCGGTATGCGAGGCTGTTCTAAAGGGATCTTCAGGTTAGTTCAACAGTTGCATGCGCCCGAAAAATACAGTGCTTGGTATCGCCCATCACTTAGATTTAGTATCTGCTTCTGGGCTGTTACTCTCGGGAAGGAAAACGAAATATTTTACCTTACAGAACGAATGTAAAGACGAGAAAAGCTAAGTCAAAATAAATTTCGGTTTATATCTCGACACTTAAAGATTGTGGTTTATCTGGTCGAATTTTGTAAATGGATGGTTGAAAGTTGTTTCTGTACAAGTTGTCATAAGCGGTTCCGGATCGATGCTTCAATGACAGCCTAGATGTGAAGGAATTGTCATTGACGGATATTGTGAAGCACTCCTTATTTTTGTGCTGAAAGAGAATTCATTAGAAATACGGAAAACAGTTCGTTACTAAATAAATAAATGTTACGATTGTCGCAGGCTAGAAAAAATTCGTCAAAATTTATTGGCTATATCCATATGTTTTGTTTTGCAAGGCTCAGTGTGATACTTTCCTGTATTGTTATGCAGCAGGCCAGAATGGTTTTTTGAGGCCAACAGTTACGGGGTGTCAAAATATCGAATACAGGAGGATAGGATGGTGGCGATTGATATCATATCTTAGATATCAGGTAAACCGTATTCGTATGCCATTTCCTCCGTGACATGTTGTCTCAGCAGCTTGGTGGCCTTTTCAACAATTAACATGGTGCGGATCTCCTTATGAAAGATTTCAGGTGATTTACATTCTCGTAGCTTAGGCAATAGCCTGTTACATATTTTTGCGTAAACGTTCACGAAAAAGTTCGTGCGTACCTGAGTTCTAGTCCTTTCTATTTTTAGCAAGTTGTGGCTGTTTCGAATATCATAGTTTAACCCATCTTCGAATTTCTGGTCCAGGCTTGGGGCATGAACTCGCTTGTGTATGATATCGAATAAGAGCTATATATTCAGTTTCATCCGTCTGCGCCATACTGCGTCTAGTTTTAAGGCCTTGCAGCGCTGTGCGTACGTGCTTCAAGGGGCCGATTCCAGAAGACGTTGCATTCGACCATCTTTTCTTGCATTACGGTAGATCGGTGCACAATAGTCTAAAACCGGTCGGGTTTTTATTTTGTCCAGGCTGGTCATGGACTCGTGCATTTTGAATGGTAGCCCAATGCTTCGACGAGCTTTAGCGACTACATTTGCCGTGTATTCCATAAATTTCAGTGAGCCAGTATGGTGAAGACCTAAGACTTTTACTGCACAGTTGCACGTGTCTGGTTTTCCACAGTGAACTCCGTCACTTCCACCGACGGCCAACAATCGTAGGGTTCTTGGACATCCGAGCGGCTTTTGACTCAGTAGATAGATCCGTGTTGTGGGACTGTTTACTAAGGAAAGGTGTGCCCGACAAGTTTGTAACCATCTTGAAGGATCTCTACAGTCACACGTAGGGCAAAGTCAGGGCTTTCAACTTCGTTTGCTGTCATCAGCGGCGTGCGCCAAGGTTACCCCGTCTCACCTTTCCTCTTCAATTTTGTCATCGAAGATGTCGTCCAAGGAGCATTGGAAGACCCTCAAAAGTGCGATATTGAGCTTCTCCAAAGTGAAAGAGTCGCGGACTTGAACTACGCCGATGATATTGTTTTACTTTGGGACGATCCAGAAGCCGTCCAGAGCACAATGAACCGCTAAGCGACCGAAGCATCTAAGCATGGCTTGGGTTTCATGCCAGGGAAAAGTAAAATACTACTCCATGATAGGCAGACGCCTGTGCCTGCCCTCACCACTGCTGATGACGTCCTG